CTATGTGCAGCAGCACCCGAAGAGTGGTCATCTTTGGGGTGGGAGAGAAGGTCTGAAAGTAGTCAACTCCCTGCCGCTGACTGAAGCCACGAGCGATTTACCGCGCCTTGAAGACAGGTGGAGAGCCCGGCGGCCGCTTCACCCTGAAGATCCACATGCCACTGACGATGTTCGCCCCAGGAGGGGGAACTGCGTCAACTTAGGTGCCTGTGGACTTCCAGGAAGCCATCTCTGCATCCATAGCTGCCTGCCACTGAGAGGAGTAGGGACCCTCTACGGCCTCCGCGTAAGAGCGCGGAGTCGGGATGTCTAGTGCATCCAGGTCTCCCTCAGGGGCAAGCAGTACAGACGCGAGATGAGGTGAAGCAGTAGCCAGACACTGGAACTCCTCCTGCCTGTCCTCAAGGACGTCCGTGTCAAGAGCACACTCACCCCCAACGGACGGAGGACAGACAGACGCAGACTCAGCAACAAGACTGGCAGCGTAGTCTAGACGACAGCGAGCAGCAAAGTCGACGAGCTCTGCAACAAGTGCAGACGCCGCAGCGGACTCAAAAGAGGGGTCAGTGACGACAGTAGCAAGAAGACGCGTGACAGTAGGACTGGCAGCGCGAAGAGAGTCCGACTCTGGGTCGGTAAGCGCAGGAAGGGAGGACGCAGGAGGAGAAGGCAAAGGGGCACGTAGAGGAGCAGTGGACGGACGCAGAGACATCCGGTGCGTGCTAGGGACAGGAGGAGGACGCTGACGCGAACCGCGACCACTAGCGCGAGCAGCACGAACAAGCGACGCGGGACGAGACGGAGGCTCACGACGCTCAACAAGACCTCCAGTAGGACCAGTGTAGGGAGAGGGAGCAGGCAGTGGGGAGGCGGGCTCTAATTGTGACTGTGACTGGACAAGCGGTGGGCACTCTACAGGAGGAGAAAGACCAAGAACCTGCTGCAGGAGCGGAACGAAGTACGGCCGAGGCCGCGCGGCGACTCCAGGCACAGCAGGGACAGCACCAGCACCCTCAGCACCTCCGGCAGCACCAGCGCCAACAGCACCTCCAGCGGCTGGACCTCCAGCAGCACCAGAAGCAGGACCACCGCCAGGACAGACAGCACCAGTCTCAGCACCAGCACCCTCCGCAGCGCCAGCTCCAGTAGGACCCGCAGGCCCAGCAGCTCCGGGACCGGCGGTACCAGCACCCTCAGCGGCCGAAGAAGCTCCAGCTCTAGCAGCGCGCCTCCAGCGGCAAGCAAACCACTCGCGCAGCTCTTGTGGAGAGAGTGGCTCCCGCCGAGACGGAGCACCCAGAGAACCTCCAGGCCCAGCACCGCCAGACGCCACAAGAGGAGGTCCAGCGGCCGCAGGCTCCGCACCTCCAGGCCCAGCAGCCCCAGACGCAGCACCCCGAGGCTCAGTAGCTCCTGACGTAGCACCCCCAGACTCAGCAGCTCTAGACGCAGCACCCCCAAGCTCAGCAGCTCCCGACGTAGTACCCCCAGACTCAGCAGCCCTAGGCTCAGCACCCCCAGTCGCAGTACCCCTAGGCTCAGCACCCCCAGGCGCAGCACCCCGAGTCTCAGCACCCCCAGGCGCAACACCCACACGCACGGCACCCCCAGAGTCAGCACCCCCAGGCTCAGCACACGCAGCAGTACCATTGTCACCAGCAACCTCGACTGGCTCGACTTCGTCAACCTGGGCCACACCAGAAGGGTGAGGACCCTGAGGGGGAAGGGGGTCTACCGGGGGGGCACCTGGCACAAGGAAGTGTGGCGGTGGGGGGAGGGAAGGAGTGCGGTAGGGGAAGAGACGGTAGAAGGGGACCGACTCGTCGAACGTGACGTCCTGGGAGGACAGAACGCGACGAGAGGAGGGGTGGTAGAACTGCCACCCTGGGGCGTTAGGGGGGAAGCCCAAGAAGACACACGGAGCAGCACGAGGGGACAGCTTGTTCGCAGACAAGTCGCGGACAAACGCCCGAGATCCCCAGACACGGAAGACAGACGCATCGCCGACCTTCCCCGTCCACAGCACAGCTGGGGAGGTCTCCGGCCGGGAGACCCTGGGGTGAAGGTTGAGCTGATACGCCGCGTACCTGACCGCAAACGGCCACAGAAAATGGGGGGCAGCCGCATGCATCATGGACGTACAAGCGACGTCCATGACCATGCCAATGCGGTGCTCAGCAATCCCATTTTGTTGTGGAGAGTCCAGAAGCGTAAAGGTCTGGCGGATCCCCCGTGCACGACAATAGGCCCGTAGAAGGCCATAGGAGAACTCCCCACCTCGGTCAGAGTGTAGACGTAGAACAGGAAGGTCCGAGCCGAAGCTCCTCCTGAGCTGGAGACGAGCTGCGCGGATCCAGTCGATCAGCACCTCAGTGACATCACCCTTGTTGCGCAAGGGGAAGACTGTGGTGTAACGCGAGTAGTCGTCAACCACCAGCAGGAAGTAGCGCTCGTGACCCTGCCCACGGACGCGGGCCGGGCCCCATACGTCCATGTGAAGTGTCTGCAGAGGAGCCTCTGTCGGGGGAAACTGGGAGGAGTGAGGAGCAGCCCGGAGGCGCCCCTCGAAACAGGGGACACAGGAAGGTCCTTGTCCCGAAGGAAGGGGAGGGAGAGACCGGGGAAGACCAGAGACAAGGACACGGGAAGCCATGCCCCGAAGACGAGGCAAGGAGGGGTGGCCAAGACGGTGGTGCCACAGGAGAGTCTCGTGAGACAGGAGGCGACACGAACAGGGGGCATACTCAGGACCAGACCGGGACGCAGCAGCAAACACCTGACCCGACGCAGCTACCTGGCCAGACGCAGGGTCAGGAGGAGACTCAGTGGTCAGGGTGTAGAGGCTCGACCCTGGCCGAAGCGAGAACGTGGCCAGGTGCCGGCCTGTGCGTGCGTCCGTGCAGTGGGTCACCCGCTGACTCGCAGGAGTAAACTGGTCAACCCCCGCATCCTACAGGTCAGCACCACTCACCAAGTTCGTCGAGAACGAGGGGAGGTACAGACCAGACAGGGTGCCCGAGGGGGCAGCCGAACACGGGAGGACAGTGGAGAAGTGAGAGAGGACAGGACCCCCAGAGGGGTCAGCCAGGGAGACTGCAACTGGCCGACCAAGTGTCGTGAGTGTGGTGCGGCCTCGAAAGAAGGAGCGAGAAGCCCCTGAGTCAAGTGTGAAAGTGAGGGAGGCCGAAGCCGGCGCAGTACCTGGGAGCGCAGCCTCACCAGTACCTGAGAGCGCAGACGCACTGGCACCTAGAGCAGCAGCCTCACAAGCACCTAGCGCAGCAGTACCAATGCCCGGGTCGGGGGGGTTCTTGGCGCAGAACTCGGCAGGAAGGGCGGCGTGGTAGCGAGTGTCACTAGTGCGGAGGTGCGTAATGAGGTCAGCGACTCTGGGAAAGGCAGTGAGATCAAGAAAGAGGTACGGTAGCATGAGACGGCTCAGTGCAGCAGTGGCAGGGGAAGAGTAGCGCGCAACTACAGCGTCGTACAAGGTCTGAGCACTCTTGTACTGACTAAAGTGCGCGCGCTCAGTGGTGGGCAAGTGGCGACGCACAGCAAGACGTGCAGCAGCATCGCGGGTGGCCCAATGAGAGCGAACAGTGGGGTCAGTATCAGCAGCAGGGGCAGGAGAGGCGCCAGAGGTGAGGTCAAAGAGGGAAAGGCCGTCCGCCCTATCGCACTGTAAGAACAGCTGCAGGTCGTCGACCCAGACCTCAAAGTCAATGGCTCGACCCTCAGCGTCAAAAGCGAGGACACTAGGGGTAGCCATGACGACGACAGTGGAGCAGTGCAAGCAGTAGGGGAAGGGCACGCAGTGACAGCGGTACGGTGCTCACCGGGCAGGGCAGGTCGGGCGGCTCGGCAGGAGGGCGGCTTGGCGACTCGGCGGCTCGGATGCTGGGCGGCTCGGCTCCCGGGCGGCTCGGCGGCAGGGCGGCTCGGGTGCCGGGCGGCTCGGGTGCAGGGCGGCTCGGGGGCGGGGCGGCTCGGCTGCCGGGCGGCTCGGGTGCAGGGCGGCTCGGGGGCGGAGCGGCTCGGTTGCACTGCGGCTCGGTGGTCCGGCGGTGCGGCGGCTGCTGCTGGGCAACTCGGCTGCTCCGGTACCGGGCGGCGTGGCGGTCGGCTGCATGGGTGAGGGCGGCGAGGCCGCGTAGGTGAAGGCGGCGGGGCCGCTCAGGTGAAGGCGGCGGGGCCGCGTTGGTAAGGGCGGTGGGACCGCGTAGGAGAGGGCGGCGAGGCCGCACAGCTCAGGGCGGCGAGGCCGCGATAGGAGGGCGGCGGGGCCGCAAGAGCAGAGCGACGGGGCCGCGATGTAAGGGCGGCGGGGCCGCGACCGCAGGGCGACGGGGCCGCGATCAAAGGGCGGCGAGGCAGCGATGTAAGGGCGGCGGGGCCGCGACGTAAGGGCGGCGGGGCCTCGAGAGCAGGGGCGGCAGGGCCGCGATGTAAGGGCGGCGGGGCCGCGACGTAAGGGTGGCGGGGCCGCGATAGCAGGGCGTTGGGGCCGCGAGGTAAGCGCGGCAGGGCCGTCAGAGCAGGGGCGGCGGGGCCGCGATCAAAGGGCGGCGGGGCCGCGAGAGCAGGGGCGGCGGGGCCGCGATGTAAGGGCGGCGGGGCCGCGAGGTAAGGGCGACGGGGCCGCGATCAAGGGGCGGCGGGGCCGCGAGGTAAGGGCGACGGGGCCGCGATCAAGGGGCGGCGGGGCCGCGATCGTAGGGTCGGCCGCTAGGGCGGCTCGGTAAGAGAATGGCTCGAGGCGCGACTCGGGATGAGTGCGCTTCGGGCAGGAAAAAAAATCGAGTGGTGGGCCCTAGGCGCAGTTCCCACAGGGGAACCTGCTCGATACCATGAAGAGAATAGAACGAGAATGAATGAACTATGAATGAAGTGAGTACATATAGGAAACCCTAATTGGGTTGTACCCCCTATGGGATACCCCACTATAGCCTACACAACAGCATAAGCTATATAACGTTCTGACATCTGCAGCGGGGCCTCTGTCAGAGGAAACTGGGAGGAGTGAGGGGCAGCCCGCTGGCGCCCCTCGACACAGGGGACACAGGTAGGGCCAGGGCCCTGAGGAAGGGGAGGGAGGGACCGGGGGAGACCAGAAACAAGAAGACGGGAGGCCATGCCTCTGAGCCGAAGCAGAGAGGGGTGACCAAGACGGTGGTGCCAGAGGAGAGCCTCGTGAGACAGGAGACGACACGAACAGGGGGTAGACTCAGGACCAGACCTGGACGCTGCAGCAAACACCTGACCCGACGCAGCAACTGGAGGAGACGCAGTGGTCAGTGTGTACAGGCTCGACCCCGGCTGACGGGTAAACGTAGCCAGGTGTCGGCCTGTGCTAGCCTCTGTGCAGTGCGTCACCCGCTGACGCGCAGGAGTGAACTGGTGTACTCCCTTATCCTGTAGGTCAGCACTACTCACCAGGTTCGTAGAGAACGAGGGGAGGTAGAGACCAGACAGGGTGCTAGAGGGAGCCGCCGGACACGGGAGGACTGTGGAGAAGTGAGACAGGACAGGACCCCCAGAGGGGTCAGCCAGAGACACCGCAACCGGCCGACTAAGCGGCGTGAGTGTGGTGCGGTCCCGAAAGAAGGAGCGAGAAGCTCCAGAGTCAAGGGTGAAGGTGAGGGAGGCCGAAGCCGACGTAGTACCTGAGAGCGCAGACTCACCAGTACCTGAGGACGCAGACGCACTAGCACCTAGAGCAGCAGCGTCACAAGCACCTAGGGCAGCAGCCTCACCAGTACCTAGAGCAGCAGTCCCAAGGCCAGGATCGGGCGAGAAACACCGGTAACAGTCACCCTCATCACTAATAGACACAGCATACATGGCAGAAATAATAGCATCAAAATCAAGATCATAGATAGCGACTCCCGCCCTAAACAGCTCGCCCCAGCGAGGGATCTTTGTGGTCTCTGGGAACTAGCGACGCCACGAGTCCGTCAAGCGGCCAAAGCAGCGCTGGGTGGGGTGCGCACCCCCACACTGCTCACCCGCACGGTCGCCGGTGCGCAGGACGTAGGTACACGGACCAAAACCCCCACCCCGCTGGCGTGTAGTGTACCACTCACAGAGCTGCTGAGGGGACAAGGTCTCATGACCGCGCTGCTGCTGCTGGCGCTGGCCACCACCGGAACCACTCCTCTGTGTAGACCCGCGACCAGCTCCACCGCCACCCCCGCCGCCTCCGCCGCCTCCGCTACCACTGCCACCTCCGCTGCCGCCTCCACCGCCACCACCTCCGCCACCCCCGCTCCCACCACCACCGCCGCTGCCGCCTCCGCTGCCGCCACCGACACCTCCTCCCCCACCTCCACTCCCACCGCCACCCCCACTCCCCCCGCCGCCTCCACCTCCACCGCTCCCGCTCGCTCCTCCAACGCCTATGGCCCCCTTGCCCTTGCCAGAGCGGCGTCTCCCGCTAGGGGCGGACGCCGCATCGACCGACTCAAGACCAAGGAGGTCGGCCGTAGCAGCAGAGGCAACAGAGGGCAGAAGGGGGGAGGGGGAGCACCCCACAAAGATGGGGGTGCGCGAGTCACCACTAGAGGCCCCTACAGCGACTATGCTCTTCTCGGCCGCTAGAAGGGACTTCTCGAGGAGGTCAACAGTGAGAGTGGTGGGAGAGACTGTGAGGAAGTGGTCCCTGACTACGCGAAGGGAGTCAGGGAGGCGAGTGACTATGTAGTAGAGAGTGATGTACATGGGGGGGGTAGGGGTTCTTGGCGCAGAAGTCAGCAGGAAGCGCATCACGGTAGCGAGTGTCACTAGTGCGGAGGTGCGTAATGAGGTCAGCGACTGTGGGAAAGGCAGCAAGGTCAGGGAAGAGGTACGGTAGCATGAGACGGCTCAGTGCAGCAGTGGCAGGGGAGGAGTAGCGTGCAACTACAGCGTCGTACAAGGTCTGAGCACTCTTGTACTGACTAAAGTGCGCACGCTCGGAGGTAGGGAGGTGGCGACGCACAGCAAGACGTGCAGCAGCGTCGCGCGTGGCCCACTGGGAGCGAACAGTGGCGTCACCATCAGCAGCAGGGGAAGGAGAGGCGCCAGAGGTGAGGTCAAAGAGAGAGAGACCGTCTGCCCTATCGCACTGTAAGAACAGCTGCAGGTCATCAACCCAGACGTCAAAGTTAACGGCTCGACCCTCAGCGTTAAAAGCGAGGACACTAGGGGTAGCCATGACCACAGTAGACTAGCAGTGCAACAGTAGGGTGAGGGCAGTGTAGCAAGAGAGGCATTGTGCTCACCGGACAGAGCAGCTCGGGCGGCTGGGCAGTAGGGCCGCTCGGCAGTAAGGCGGCTCGGCAGATCGGCGGCTCGGCTACTGGGCTGCTGGGCGGCTCGGCTGCAGTGCAGCTCGGCGGTCCAGCGGCTGGACTGTACGGCGGCTCGGCTGCTAGGCGGATCAGCTGCAGGGCGGCTCGGGTTCTGGGCGGCTCGGCTGCAGGGCTGCTCGGCGGCTCGGCGGCCGGCTGTCCGGCTGCTCGGTTGCCCAGGCGGCTCGACGGTGCTGCTGCAGGGCGGCGCAGTGGTCGGCTGCTCGGCTGGGTAGGGCGGGTCGGGAAGCCCGGGTGGCGGGCGGCGCTGCAGCAGGTGACGAGGCCGCAGATGAGAGCGGCGGGGCCGCCAACGAGAGGGGCGGGGCCGCAGGTGAAAGCGGCGGGGCCTCAGGTGAGAGCGGCGGGGCTGCAGCAGAGGGCGGCGGGGCCGCATAGAAGGGCGGCGGGGCTGCAGTTGAGGGCGGCGGGGCCGCAGTAGTTGAGGGCGGCGGGGCCGCAACAGTTGAGGGCGACGGGGCCGCAGGTGAAAGCGGCGGGGCCGCAGGTGAGAGCAGCGGGGCTGCAGCAGAGGGCGGCGGGGCCGCAGAGAAGGGCGGCGGGGCCGCAGTTGAGGGCGGCGGGGCCGCAGCAGTTAAGGGCGGCGGGGCCGCAGCAGTTGAGGGTGGCGGGGCCGCAGTTGAGGGCGGCGGGGCCGCAGCAGTTGAGGGCGGCGGGGCCGCACTAGTTGAGGGCGGCGGGGCCGCAGGTGAAAGCGGCGGGGCCGTAGAGAAGGGCGGCCGGGCCGCAGTTGAGGGCGGCGGGGCCGCAGTTGAGGGCGGCGGGCCGCAAGAGAAGGGCGGCGACGGGCCGCTTGTGAAAGGGCGGCGCGATGCGGCCGTTAGGGCTGCGCGACGCGGCCGCTAAGGGCGACGCGACGGGCCGCTAAGGGCGACACGACGGGCCGCTAAGGAGGGCGCGACCTTAGGCGCGCTTCGGGCAGGGGCAGGACGCGCCCCGGGCAGGAAAAAAAAAAGGGGGGAGGATCGGTGGGCCCTAGGAACAGTTCCCACGAGGGAACCTGCTCGATACCATGAGAAAGTGAGAACGAGAATGGATGAACTATGAGTGAAGTGGGTACAAGTACTAACCCTAATTGGGCTGTACCCCCTATGGGATACCCCACTACAGCCTACACAAAAACATAAGCTATAATGTTCTGACAGTTCCTTATCTACACTTGTTATCGGATGTTACGCAATGGTGGAGCTCTTTGAATATCCCTACCTAACTAGCAAATATAGAGCATGTCTGCCTAATTCCCACCACTCCTTTATTTCGAATTGATTGGTGTCTTGAACCTCTGTGGTACAAGTGGTGCTGCGATCAAAAGATGATCGTAACTAGGATCACCAGAGGAAGGTTCGCACACTTCTGGTCTAGTGGTGGTGGGCCCTTGATCTCAATAGCGCAGTGAATGTAAAATGCTTGAGATGAATTAAAACATGCAAATAGAACGATATAAATAAGAGTACAGGGGAATACGAATCGACCTAGCTAGCCATGTATTCTAAGGGGTACATTCCCTTATTTGAATTCATTCCCAACCGTGCGGCGCATACAGTTACGAAACTGTTCCCGCCAAAATCCTCCTGCCTGCAACTGCCCGATGCCGTCTGCAGGCCCTACGATATCAGGAATTTTACCCTGAAATTCCTGATTTTCAGGGTTTTTTTTTTTACCTACCCTGAAAATCTAGTGTTCAGCTTTTCCTAGGGCTGATTTTTCAGCCTTCACATGCCACATGACTCTGAACTTTCAGCAATTTTTTTGAAGTGACACTGATGCCTTTACGTTGTAACGAGTTTGACCCTGAAAGCGAATCCTACTAGGTACGAGTGTACTTGACCGGAAGTACTGGGAAAATCAGATTCCCGCGGTGTCAGCAGGGCCTGTCGTTGACTATCGGACAATTTTGCCCACACTAATGGCCCCTTAGTTGGCGCGCCTGGTCCGTTCATTGGCCACATTTGCAACATTAAGTGACTTGACCAATTACAAGGTTGCAGCATAGAGATGCTGTCAGGCTGCGGTGCGAGGGATTCTGGCAGTCTAGGTCGTGCTGGCAAGCACTGATGCATCCACGCCTCCCAGCCGTGCTACCTGTGAGAATAAGCGAACAGGAATGAATGAACTAGCAGTGAAATGAGTACAAGTAGGAAACCCTAGAATTGTGTACCCCCTATAGGCTAACCCACTGTAGCCTACACAAGCATAACATATATAATGTTTGACACACCCCCATAGGCAAAGTGGGGGAGAACAAGGGGTCACAAGACCAGTCAAGCAAAGCAAAGCAAGCTCAGGGTGGATCACAAAGTCACCACACAGTCCGAGCACAAGAGCAGGGCCAGAGGCCAGTTCACATGCAGGAGTACAGACATATATATAAAACTAGACAAGCAAGAGCAGGTATATATATATGTCACAGTACAAGTGAAGTCAAGAGGAGAGCAAGTGAGGCAAGACAGGCACAAGACCCAGCTGGGTGCAAAAGCGCTGATGGTCACAAGGCGCGAGTGCCTTGGTGAACACATCAGCAGTGTTGGCCTCAGAGGCCACGTACGCAAGTCGCAACTGACCACGCTGCTGCAGCTCACGAGCAAGGAAGTAGCGGAGAGCAATGTGCTTCGTTCTGTGCTCCAAGCGCTGCTCTCGACACAAGGCCAGCATGGCCTTGTTGTCTACGTACAGCACTGGAGGAGAACGAGGCGGCTCTCCAAGGTCAGTCAGCAGGTAGGTGAGCCAGCGAAGCTCCTGTGCAGCCATGGCCCCGGCGTAGATCTCAGCCTCACAACTGGAGCCGAGAACCGAAGACGAGCGAGTAGACCGCCACGAGACAGAGCCGGAACCAAGGCTGAAGGTGTAACCCTGTGACGACCGCTGCGTAGCCTGGTCGTCAGCCCAAGAAGCGTCCGCGTGGCCGGTAAGGACCACTGGACTCCGCCCTCCAAGCACAAGCCCCATGCCCGACGTACTGCACAGGTAGCGCAATACCCTCTTCGCTGCAGCCATGTGCTCTGGTCTGTGTCTCCCAGGAGCAACATAGCGTGCAAGAATGCTCAGAGGATATGCAAGGTCAGGTCGTGTGCAGGTCATCAGGTACATGAGGCAGCCAACAAGCTCTGCATACGGACCACTCGACTCTACGGACTCATCCGAAGGCAGAGCTGAGAGTGAGTGGCGAGTAGGCAGAGGAGTGGCCTGAGGCGAGGAGTACGTGAAGCCGAAGCGCTGAAGGACCTGCTGCACCATGTGTGACTGAGTCAAGGTAATGGTGCGGCGTGCTCTGTCCCGAGTGATCTGCAAGCCAAGGTAGCTGCGCAGTTCACCCAGGTCTGTGCACGTGTGTCTCTTCAGCAGTTCGGACTTCACGTAGGCGAGTCCAGCAGTGTCCGCTGTGGCAAAGACCAAGTCGTCGACGTACACGAGGATGTAGAACGGCGGCAGTGAAGTGTCGGTGCGCAGAAACAGCGACGGGTCAGCAGTAGAAGGAGCAAACCCAAGAGCCGCAAGCGTAGTCCTCAGTGTGTCGTGCCACTGACGCGGTGCCTGGCGGAGACCGTAGACTGGCCGTCGGAGGCTCCACTGGGTGCCAGGAGGGAAAGTCCCAGTGAAGCCAGGTGGACGGCGCAGCCAGATCTCCTCGTGCAGGCTACCCTGCAGGAACGCAGTGCTGAAGTCGAGAGAGTGAAGCTCGTAGTCGCGCTGAGCGGCTATGTGCAGCAGCACCCGAAGAGTGGTCATCTTCGGGGTGGGAGAGAAGGTCTGAAAGTAGTCAACTCCCTGCCGCTGACTGAAGCCACGAGCAACGTACCGCGCCTTGAAGACAGGTGGAGAGCCCGGCGGCCGCTTCACCCGGAAGATCCACATGCCACTGACGATGTTCGCCCCAGGAGGGGGAACTGCGTCAACGTAGGTGCCTGTGGACTTCTAGGAAGCCATCTCTGCATCCATAGCTGCCTGCCACTGAGAGGAGTAGGGACCCTCAACGGCCTCCGCGTAAGAACGCGGAGTCGGGATGTCTAGTGCATCCGGGTCTCCCTCAGGGGCAAGCAGTACAGACGCGAGATGAGGTGAAGCAGCCGCTAGACACTGTAACTCCTCCTGTCTGTCCTCTAGGACGTCCGTGCCAAGAGCACACTCACCCCCGACGGACGGAGGACAGACAGACGCAGACTCAGCAACAAGACCAGCAGCGTAGTCGAGACGACAGCGAGCAGCAAAGTCAACGAGCTCAGCGACTAGAGCAGACGCAGCAGTGGACTCAAAAGAGGGGTCAGTGACGACAGTAGCAAGCAGACGCGTGACAGTAGGACTGGCAGCGCGAAGAGAGTCCGACTCAGGGTCGGCAAGCGCAGGAAGAGAGGACTCAGGAGGCGAAGGCAAAGGGGCACGCAGAGGAGCAGTGGACGGACGCAGAGACATCCGGTGCGTGCCAGGGACAGGAGGAGGACGCTGACGCGAACCGCGACCACTAGCTCGAGCAGCACGAACAGGCGACGCGGGACGAGACGCAGGCTCACGACGCTCAGCAAGACCTCCAGTAGGACCAGTGTAAGGAGAGGGAGCAGGCAGAGGAGAGGAAGGCTCCAACAGTGACTGCGATTGGACAGGCTGTGGACACTCTACCGAAGGAGAAAGACCAAGAACCTGCTGTAGGAGCGGAACGAAGTACGGCCGAGGCCGCGCGGCAGCTCCAGATCCAGCAGGGACAGCACCAGCACCCTCAGCGACAGCACCAGCGCCACCCACACCTCCAGCGGCAGGACCAACAGCAGTAGGCTCAGCACCAACGCCCTCAGCAGCTCCAGCTCCAGGAGGACCCGCAGGTCCAGCAGCTCCGGGACCGGCAGCACCCGCACCCTCGACGGTCGAAGAAGCTCCAGCTCCAGCTCCAGCAGCACCTCCAGACTCAGCAGCACGCCTCCAGCGGCGAGCGTACCACTCGCGCAGCTCCTGTGGAGAGAGGGGCTCCCGGCGAGACGCAGCAGCAGGAGAAACCCCAGGCTCAGCAGCTCCAGACGCAGCAGGGACAGCACCAGCGCCCTCAGAGACAGCACCAGCGCCACCCACACCTCCAGCGGCAGGACCAACAGCAGCAGGCTCAGCACCAACGCCCTCAGCAGCTCCAGCTCCAGGAGGACCCGCAGGTCCAGTAGCTCCGGGACCGGCAGCACCCGCACCCTCGACGGTCGAAGAAGCTCCAGCTCCAGCTCCAGCAGCACCTCCAGACTCAGCAGCACGCCTCCAGCGGCGAGCGAACCACTCGCGCAGCTCCTGTGGAGAGAGGGGCTCCCGGCGAGACGCAGCAGCAGGAGAAACCCCAGGCTCAGCAGCTCCAGACGCAGCACCCCCAGGCTCAGCAGCTCCCGACCCAGCACCCCCAGACCCATC